AAAAAAAAAAAAAAAAAATTACACCATCAGATGGAACTGTGCTGTGTGACAGATGCTGGTTGTCTGTTCAATAATTATCAGCAGTGGCAACAACAGTTGATCAGAATCCTTTGTTAAAACAAATACCAATCAAGAACGTCATATAAACAATCTTCTAAAAGTTATAATATTTTATTTTTTTGTACAATGATCAGAAGTGCTTCAAAATTGAAATTACTGAAATGGTATACGGTGTACGAATTGCAAAAACAAGAAAAAAAAAAAAAGTTGAAATTCTTTTTTAGCTAATTTTATTAATTCTTAAAATAACAGTAACAACAAAAAAACTTTTCCTACCCTTTTATGCCTTCTTTTCCCTTTGAAACTGATACTGTTGATCAACTGTTCCGATGTTTAGCACCAGAAACAGTGAATATTATTCAATTGAGAAAAAAACCTTTTATTTGTTTAACAATTTTAAACTATTCAACGATAAAATACAGGCAAAAATTATCCTTAACAACTTGGCATCACATTGGGGATCTTTTTTTTACTCCTAAAAAGGCTAAAATTTCATGAGAACATTACGAAATTCTATAATGGCTTCACAAAACTTTTTTATAGTTTGAAAAAAAATGGATTTAGAATACCCAGCGGTGGGACCTAAAGAAATAGACATAAATGTAAAAATCTAATAAATGTCACTGATGAAACTGAAATACTTTAACTGAAAAACTGCAGGAAAAAATTGTTCGTCCTGAAACACTATCGCCAATCACATCGATATTATTCAACTTTTTTTATGGTAGAAAGTAATGCTGAGATCAACATATTACTGAAGTAACAGTTTTGAGTTAAATCAACTATTTCTACCGGTGTTAAAAGACGCTATTTGGTTTGGGTCACCATCGGCACAAATTATCACACCTCATTCAGACTGCGCAGCCCAGGTTATAAAGATAAAAACAGTATTTCAGTGCAATATGATTTCTTGGTTTTTTTCTTTTGGCGTTGATCTGTTTTGGTCCTGTCCTGTCTAATACTCTTTTTTTTTTCTATTGCTATGTATCTTCAGTTTGATTAGTATTAAGCTATTTACTTTTTGAATTTCTTTTGTAT